ACACTTTTACACATTAAGCGTACAAATTAGCAGGTTGGTTTTGCGTGCGAGGAGCATCCACAGGTGTTCAATCCATGATTTTTTATTTAGGCAAACGACGCGACGGCTAAAATGGCGATAGTCGGAGCACATGGCAAGATCAAGTTATGAGAAACGGACAAGATCTGACATGAAGAACTGAATGGCAGCCCAGAGATGAGATGGATGGTCTGCAAACCAGGGCAGGGGCTATGTAGACTAGAGTTGCCCGGAAGAGAATTTGAAGAGAGTTAGAAGAATCCTACTTGCCATACAAATATTTTATATTCTGTTTTATTATATTTAAAGTTATATGTTTACAGTTAAAAAGGCTTTAAATAACAATAGTCAACAAGCCTAAGGCAGCTACCGCAGCCCATGGGCATTCCCACAGACTTCCACTAGGAGCTGATACGAGAAATGAGACTGTGGAAGATTTTTAATTTCATGTAATAAAACGGTATAGCCAACCATTGTCAATGTTTTAAGTAAATAAAAATGGAGTAATATTATTAACTTCTTATTAAAAAATATTTGAAAGTAAATTGGCAACTTTTAGTATTAGTAAGTTAAGGACAATTGTGCTATGTTTCACGTGAGTCAAATTGATTTTTAAATAAAGATTTTATTTTAACAAGCAGTTCCTGAAAGCGTTCTACCAAAGTATTCAACTTTATATTATAAACGTGTCTATGGCGAAACTATTAATTTCCACATCCAACGTATGTAATATTCTATACATATTTATACGTAAGATTCATATATATTGCAGAAGGGAAGCTTCAATAGTTTAAAAGTATTTAGTATATTTAATGTTGAGTATTGCTTGTTATTAGGAATTCGGAGTATTTAACTTTTTTTTTATATAATAGGGGGGCAAACGAGCTTGCGGGACGACCAAAAAGGGCAGTCTTCGCAGCCCATAGACACCCATTTTTAGTTGTGTAGTGGTGAGTTGCCGGCCTTTAAAATAAATAACTCTAATCTACGTTTTTCTATAGTCATTGCCACGTTAGCTCCTAATTTAAATTAGTATTTTCCTAAATCTGGGAATTTTCAATTACCTATTATGTAATAAGTATGATGGGTGGGGTGTTAAATGTCACCGCACTTTTTTGATGATACTAATAATGTAGGAGTCTCGGGGGACCTTCATTGGAACACCTCAAGTTGCAAACAATGAAATACAAGTACTAATTAGGAAATACAGACGAGTAGGTATCGATAATTTCAAAATTTTCGGAACCCTATAATCTATCAACACGAAATTAGGTTGATTTCAATGTTGATTATTCTATAACTTTAAATTAAAAACATGAAATAATCGATAAATAAAAAAAAACGATTATTAACAATCGATAAATTAAAAACACGATTTTTTAAAGTGAACGTCACATCTCTTATAACCAATAGAAAAGTAGAAAATGGCGGATTGTTTACAAATTTCAATACATTACACAAAACTTTATTTTTTTTTTAAATGCTTAGACGCGTTTCCGCAGCAAAAATCACTTGGAGGTGTTCCAATGAAGGTCCCCCGAGACTCCTACTTAATTATTAACATCAAAAAAGTGCGTTGACATTTAAAACATTTTTTAGTATGATTATTAATTTACTAATTGGTTTTTAAAGAAATAATTTTTAAATAAATACACCTAAAAGTATAACAAATAAATAACAAATTAAGAATTCCAATAGAAGGGTCATACTAAACGAAAAATTATTTCTCGGAATCACAATAAACCCGTTGACAAGGGTAGCCGTAAAATTGTCAATTAACGTGCATAGAAAACAATTAAAATGGGTCTCCGCGGAGTTGGAATTTAATAAAGTCAACTTCGCAATAGAACTATTGTTCTAGGATTACGAAATACATGGAATTGTATGAAGCCAGAAAAACGAAAGAATTAGTCTTTACTTCAATGCTAAGTAATAGTTAATGCAAAATAAAGATTTGTAGCACCTTACATTTGTGTTACATCCTTTGCTGAAATTAAATGTTTTAATTAAATTAACTTAATAATAAATGTCACGCACGTAAAAAAAATAAACAGATCATTTACAGAAAATAATAGCACCATTTTTTTGTATGTAAAGTTAAAGTACTTTCATAATATAACACTGAAAATAAAGAACTGGCTGAGCTGAAATTATTTAAGATTTTTTTTTTATTAATGGCTCTGGCACGATTTGTGCATTAGCCAGCGTCAAGTATAAGATTTTTTTATAATTCGTGCTTTGTCTTTAGAAATTCGACCGTGTCCTCCACGTACGGTTTAAGCACTCGCCCGGTACCGCACAACCCTCCCAAAGGCCGAGAACAAATTTAAATTAAATTAAAACTTGCCCTCGAACCGGGAATCGAACCCGGTACCCCTCACCTAGCTGCCACTTAATAAGACCGCTAGGCTATGAGGCCCCCCATTATTTAAGTTAACAAATATGCAATCGATCATAGACTAAATCAATCGCTTAAACTAGAATGAAAACTCTTTGGTGAGACAAACTTTGTAAAATTAATCTTTGACCTTTTACATATAAATAATTGATGTTTTGTATTACGAATTAAAAATAGCAAGCAAATGTTATGATCACGTCATTTATCAGTGACGCGAGTATTAAAATATCGTTCTTTGCGTATGTAAAATGTATAAAATTCTTATTTCTGAATGGAGTAACGTTCTGGACCGCAGACAATCTAATCCATGCGTTGATGGCAAAATACAGTTTTCACTATGAGTTGATTTGCCAGAGTACGGAACTCTGTAACTTCCAATAGCGACAGCAATACAGATCCCGAATAGAATTCATAGGAAATTGAATTAATTATTAACGTCTGTGTAAAATTATGATAAGAAAATGTTTTGGCGCGTAACCCTTGCATTAGGAACGCTAATGTTTGTCAATTGTCAAACTCATGTTATACGCGTCACGCTTGTCATAAAGTATTTTTCTCTATTAACTCCACAGCGTATAATGGAATTTTCTTAGCCAATCATATTAAAACATTCGTAATAAATAACAATACTTCAATCGTAGATAATCTGTGTAGCGAAGTTATGGTAATTATTACATAGCTCATTTGTCTATCCACATTTGTAAACAGTTTGCAAATCGGTGAACCGCCAATAATCGTGTGATGTATCGATTAGCAAAACCACGCGTGGAGCACCATAACATCAAAATGTCGACCGATTTAATTGTTTCAACATGCGTTCAAACTTCTAACAAATTTTATAATTGTGATTGTTTTTATATATATTTTTGGGTGTGCAATATAGTTTTTAGTTTTGGGGTAACTGAATCTGATGTCATCACGCGTAAAAGTAGTGAATATTAAATGTCGGCTAACATTCAAGATTATTTTAACTTGCAAATTAAGATGGGTACTTGCTTTAAATAAGGATTATTGTTCAAAGTTTTTCTTTGAAAATACTGAAAATAAAATACAACATTATGACACTTGAGGGCATTCTATTATAACTCTCATAGGTTTTTATTTCCAGGTCTTTATTTGGATAAAGATATTTTCTTGTAATTCTTACTTATCTTTAAACTTATTAATAATAAGCATTTATATGTTTGTACATTGGTTTTAGTTTGTATAACTTGTGTTTTTCTTATGTGTTGTTGTTTGGCTTAAAAAAAATACTAATCTGCGGTAGACAATTTTGTCTGATGTTGTATATTTAATTATTATAAATTCAATCACTGTGATCCAATTTAATTTATAAGCAGATGTTACAAGAATTTGGACAAAGTTAATTTGAATTCCAACAGTTAGACATTATTTTTGTAAAAGGGGATTTAGGTTTCTCATTTACCTAATGAATTGATTTTATACGCATACTAGTGGACCCCACATACGTTGTCCTGCATGATATTTAAAGCGATTAGGATATTAAGCAAAGTATGAAAGTACCGACTGCAGTGCCATCTGCCGGGCTGATTTGTGAATCTAAACCATTCCCAGATCCCCTTGAACACACACAAAAAATTTCATCAAAATCGATCCAGTCGTTTGAGAGAAGTTCAGTGACATACACACTCACAGAAGAATTATATATATAATTAACAAATTATATCCGGTTCGTATATCTATAAACCCGACCATATTACGAGTCGTAGTTTTTACTTTAGTCTAGTTGGTTTCTATAAATTAAAAATGATGACATGCCCATCGTTATTAAGCAACGAGGGTGAATATGGATAGGTCGAATAATTCGAGATTTCAAGGAAACTGGAGACAAGCTTTTAGGTTAAATTTAACAATGTTTAATTGTACGTAAACAGCATAAGTTAGAATATTATTAGATTATGTTTTTACTTTTTGTACAGAAGTATTTAAATCCTAAACTGGCCTCTTCTATATCTGTTTTTATGAACAAGTAAATGATCAGCTATGCGTGCTGCACACACGTCTTTGAATTCTGTGTTTAACCTTCACAGTACAAGTATGTAATTACTGTGTTTAAGAAGGAAACATCCATTATTCCACAATCGGAATTAAACGCACTTTAGGGTTGAAAGTCCAACAGGTCTGCTATTCTTGGAAGTAAAAAACCAGAGACACAGAAGCCCTTCAACTTAAACTTTTCACAAGGCCAACGACACCGGGTTTTGAGAAATAATAAACGATTGAAGAGTTCATAAAACGTTAAATTTTGGGAATAATTGAGAAACCTATCTGTCAAAATTTTTATTCAAAAAAATACTTTTCTTTATAGAAACTGAGAATATTGAAGAACTAAAGACGCCTTTACGTCGATAACATTGTAATATGAGTACAATGTTAGCTTACTTTGATATCAAATATTGTTATAACTAAATGTTATGACATTCCACATATAATAAAACGAATCAAATATTATTCACGGAATTCAATAATGTTATTTAATGAACTTGACTTCATATACGTAGGCCTTAGGTAATAATTTATTGCGATTCAGTTTACGCTAAATACAAATACACGTTTCAATATATTACACGGTAAGCCCCGTGATTGCGTTATTCCTAGAGCAAATTGCCGCTATAAAGCTGGATAGGACGGAAAATATTATGTAGTCTGTACACATACAGAGGCCATAAATTAATTTAAGGTAATACAGTGTTTAATTATATAAAAATCACGGTTTTCATGCAAAAATACGGCAAAATAAAAGACACTTTTAAGCTGTTTAATTTATTAATAACTGACCTGGCCAAAACTTGAAGCACAGGAATATCAGGCTCGTCTCGCGGCTGGTCGTATGTCGGCGACAGAGGCTCCTGCGCAGCGGTGAGGGCGAGTGCCTTATATCGTGACTGTTCAGCGGTTGGCAACACAATATCCACAGAGCGAGAACGAAGGCTCGTCCCAGGCACAGTTAGGGAATCTCCACCCTGACCCAACTCCTCTGCCCTGCCACCAGAAACTTTGGAAAAGCAGGAATCGACTGAAGCTGCCCGATCCCGTTTTAGTTCTGGTACTGCTAAGTATATATCATGTACAATTGAATCTCTTGGCGCATTATTAGCTTCGTCTGAGGCCCGTACGTTTTCGAGGGAGCTCCCCGTTGGTTCTACGAAGAAAGCTTCCTGCCGCGATATGGAGCGTCGTCTTTGTGGAACTATAGGTGGTTCATCAACAGGTGGTTGCAGTTCAAACGACGGTGCACCCGGAGAAGGTGGTGGTGATTGTACTGGTGTTGGTAGAAGCATTCGCGGCGGTGGTGCCGGTGCCAGATGTATTCTCGGTACCTCCACATCGCTTTCGTCATCATCATCGTCGTCGTCTTCGGCTGATGATGATGGTGGTAATCTTTCAGGTGTGGATCTTTCCTCGCTTTGGCGGGCCAGCCATGTCTCCATATGCCGACAGTGGACACATGGCGGTGGCGTTCCTTTACCTGATCGACGTCGAGACCACAACCGCGGTACCTGCACAAAATTAAAGGATTTTAAGAGATGTACTACTTTTTTAAATATATAAAAGCTACTGCCTATTATTGTATTTGTACCCCTTAGATTATTGTAAGCGAATGAAAGAAAAACGATTTGTGTATCAGCTAGAAATTTTACTAATAATAATCCAGTGGCCGACAGATTACATCCGTTTCATCGATCATTTTAATTCCATAGACAAATAGGTGATCTACCTCCTTTGCCTGACAACGTTCGAGCGAATGTTAAATGCGCACATAGACAGAAGTTCCTACGACCTCAGGGATGAGAGTCACAAACTGAAGCCACTAGGCATACACTGCTAGGACTAGCTAGGAATTTTAGTACCGTATTTTATTAATACCACAATAGTCACATTACTGAGTATTTATATCAGCTTTATGAGCTAAATTAACAAACTTATTTAATTCCTTTTATAATATACGGGATACAGTGTGTGTATTGATTTTATTGTGCTCGGAGCGTAATGCGGTTCAAGTTTTAACCACAATCGCCTGGGGATTAACATGATAGCATTAGATACGACGGTCGTAGCGGAAACTCGTAGACATGAATGGTACAATATAGCTACGGCGTAGCTAATATTCTTCATTTCAATACATATTTTTAATCTAGAATGGATGCGAAGAATATCTTTTGAAATATTGAATTATATATATAATATTCATAGTCTGGTTCAATTGATGTGAACATTGATTAATATATAGCCTTAAAGTATAGTGCTATTTTGTTTTTTTTTTATGGGACAGGCGGCCGACGTTCACTTGAAATAAAGTGCTAACTATGCCTCCCGAACTAGCAGGGAGTTGCCAACCTTTAAGAGAATGGTACGCTCTTTTCTTCAAGGCTCCTAAGTCGTATAGGTTCGAAAATACATCTATTGGTTTCACAAAGAGATGGTGCGCAGCAGAAAGTGCCGTCAAAAGCGCCAGGCACCAAGCGTTGTGAAACTCCGGGTAAAAAGATGGAATAATCTGACTGTAACACTTTTTCATTGGTAAAATGAGAGAAATGGAGTTACGGCTATGAATTTATGGCCTTATTTATCTATATATGCGAAAGTTTAATTCTATAGAGGGTACTTCTTCATGTACGGTACAACATGAATATATGGAATGTTTACACAAATACAATTGCCCTATATTAACTATTCGGTCAAGTCCGCGCAACTTATCGGTAAAGATCAAAGCACAAATTTAATTATAATCCGCGACGGACTCACAAATAATATATGTGAAGTGAGTAAGGTACATTAACAATTTTTACTAACCAAGAACCGTACCAATTCTTAAAAGGCCGGCAACACACTCGCGAGTTCACGAGGCATTGAGTGTCCATGGGCGTATATAACTTAACATCAGATGAGCCCCATGACCTGTCCCCTGTTCTAAAAAACTTACCTCCAAATATGTTCCGGAGTCATCAGATCCAGCTGAGTCAAAGGAACGGCTTCGCGCTCCAGGCTGTGGCACAGAAAGCAAAGTACTGGCGTTTGCGCCACGGGCCGCTCCCAACTGAATCTCATCAAACGAAGCCGATCGCACCTGTAATCGTAATTATAATATAATCGTAAGATCCCAGGTCACCCATCTAAGGGTATCCTATCTCTTCTAATATTGATTGGTTCCACCGTTAGCTAATCAGCCACGGGTCGAGGATGATCCCTCTGGGGCTTAGACCCGGTCTCACTTAATGGCAAATTTTTAATTCATAGTGTAGTCAGTGATTTACATTCTGTAGAAAAAAATATAAATCGATCTATTCATTTATATTATCCTTGCTCTTACATTTTAAACATACACACGGTTTTATTAATAAAAAAATGAAACTTTGTTCGACATATTCGCCCTCGCAATGACTTAAACGAGCTCTCGCCGTCGTTTTGTGCTAATTGTATTACTATAAAGCTTACCCAGAAGCTAAGTGTGCTTTAATTCTTACTTAAATACCTCTTCTATTTTATTGAGTTTATTGTTGAACACTGCGCTGCATCGTTATGGTAGTAAAAAAAATGTTGGTTGTTTTAATTACTGTTTTAAATTATTTTCCCGTCGAATAGTTGAATAATAATTGAATTCCTTGCTTTTAAGTGTGCTTACATGAGAATAAGAATATTTATGGTTCCTACTAATAAACAATAAAATAACTAAAATTACAAATTCTTCCTCCCTTATGGTTTAAAAACCAGCATTAAAGGTACACTGCCACAGGGACCAAACTTTAAAAATTTGTTTTAATTTTCTATTTATAAATTTTTAAATTATTATTATTACTATGTAGGTTAATAATGTTGTAAATACTATTTATTTGTGTGTTGGGAATAAAAAGATTTTTTAGTATCTATAATAGATAGAGAATCACGACACATCATTACCTAAAGTCATTAGCGATCCAATACCGTAATTGGCTACCAACATACATATTTTAACGTTCAAACCAAATCGAAGCCTAGCAAAGCTCTCTAAATTAACTTTTAGAAATGAGTTGGAGTTTTCAATCTAGTATTTCCTATGAATTTTGTGATTATGAAATGGAATTACGGCCATGTACATTGCTTCAGTGGTAGACAGAAAAAAATAGAGAAAGCTGTTTCGTAAGGGAAACGATTAAATGATCTGCAAAAACATATTATACTACCTAGATTCATTTAACAGACAAGTTGAGATCCATTTTTAGAAAGTCTAATGTATGAGGGAAATAATTTACGTCATTTTTATTTACAAATTTTTGTTTCGTCGGGAATCAAACTCAAGGTATCAATTTGTGTTCTACGCCAAGCGCCGTGGAGGAAGATTTGTAAGCCTAAAGACTTTAACACATATTTGCACGACTTTAATCTCACGCCTTTAGTGAGGTGACATATTGCATATAGAAAAAGTTTATTATAGTGATTTCTCATTACAAAAAATGTATTTTTATTTACATAAGAAACTTAATATAATATACGAACGAGATACGCGTCGCCATCAGCTATCCCAATTTTAGTCTACTATGCTCATTCTAATATGTATCTTTAATGCCCTTTTGAATTGATTAAACACGCTAATATTACGAATTTTAGAGGGTAATTGATTAAATAATTGCAAACCCTCATACTTAATAGTTCTTTAAATAATTTGTGCGCGGCTTCGGCAAGATAAGCAAACTCGCTCGTAGAGTATTGCGTGTAGTGGTGTATTTGATTATTTTAAATGATAAGCTACTATGGGGAGAGCTATTTAAATTAAGATACAGCATTCCCTTCAGCAGATTAAGGAAAGCATTCCCTTCCTCAAAAGAGAGAGATTTAAATAATATTGTTACGTCAACATTATAATAATAACATAGACCCCGGGATTTATTTTAAATAAAACATTTTGGTGAGTCTGAATTTAATAATACATTTTAAACTGTATTTTCAAGTTAACTGAACAAAATTGTATATTCTAAGAAATTCATATAGCGTTTTAAATAAGTAAAAACTAGTTGGAAAAATATAGGTTGTATATCCGGGTCTTTTTAGTTCGCAAGGTGTACTTACAAGTGGAAAAGTTAATTGCCCTTTCTAAAACAAGTCCACTTCAAAGAAACGGTGAACCAAGAATTTATTTTCCTTGCTTCCTACATTTTGTTGAAACTTTGCAATGTAATCCCTATAATTAGCTGATATTGTGTTTTTTTGTTAATTTTCTAATATACTAGCTGACCCGGCAAACGTCGTTTTGCCATGTATATTATTTCAAGGAAATATTTTTTTAGTTCTATAAAAATAACTATCTACTATAATACAAAATAGGGGTTAATCGTAGAGGGGTGAAAATTAGGGGTTGTATGTATTTTTGTATGCTGTATTATAAAAAAATAAAAACAAAAAAATTGTCCAAACTTATTATCACTTAGGGGTTTGAAAAATAGACAGTAGCCGATTCTCAGACCTACTGAATATGCATATAAAATTTGATAAAAATCGGTCAAGCCCTTTCGGAGGAGTATGGTAACTTACATTGTGACACGAGAATTTTATATATAAGATAAATAATCTACCATACTGTATTATTCAGGCTACTAGGTTCTTGATGCTTTATTCAGGCATTTTTAATGGTTTCCCTACGCGTACTTAATTTTCAATTGTTTTTTTATTTATAAAGTTATCCGATTTTTTTCTCTCAAACATCACACATCAACATCATGTTAAAATGAGGACAACCAGATACTTATGAAAATATGTTATAGAAAGGATATACGCGTTTGAAAATGACTTACGAACTTAAAACACGCGCTCAACAGATCCATGCAACTTCCTCACAAGTAGCCCGCAATATCACAGCACACATATCACGAATGGCCTCTTTGCATTGAAGAAGTCGCATGGATCCACCAAGCATGCACGAATATACAAATAAATAATTATTCAGTAACGTTTGTACTGACTGAATATTTTATGAGTACATTTTTATAAATTAACAAAAATATTATTTGTTTTTTCCGCCATAAATTGTTTTTATTTTTTGTTTGGATTTTGATATTCAATTATTTTTTTGATAAACTTGTAATCATAACTCATGCTACACGAATTAACTATAAAAATTTGTAAATATAACATCACAATATAACTTTTTAGACTTAAATATGTTTTGTGTAAAAACATTTTTATATATTAACAAAAAAAAATGTGTTTTTTCTGCCACAATCATCATCGGACGTCGAGGCAGAATACGAAATTCCACCCGTATCACCTCGACATCCGCCGTTCCACAACTGAGCGTTTTTCAAGGCAGTTTTTGCCGCGCACCACCACTATGTGGAACCAGCTGCCCACTGAAGTATTTCCGAACCAATTCGACTTAGGGTCCTTCTCAAAAAGAGCATACCGATTCTTACAAGACCGGCAACGCACTTGCGAGCACCTCTGGCAATGAGTGTCTATGGGCGGCGGTATTACTTAATATCAGATGAGCCTCCTACCCGTTTGCCCCCCGTTCTATAAAAAAAATAGTTTTTTTATAGAACGGGATATATAAACTTTTAATAACTCACACTACACGAATAAAGTATAATAATGTTTCATAATAAAGAAAATATAACATAACAATATAACTTTACAGTCTTAAATATATTGCACGTCATTAATTCTGTGCAAGAATTTTTTTATCAATTTACAAGAAGTTATAAAATCTTTGTGTTGGTGGAAAAACAGCTACAAATCGTTTTCTACTCGGATATTGATTTGCTCTTGATTTTTTTTAAACTTATAATTAACAATAATTATAATACAAGATATATGTTAGACAATTTCATCAATTAAAATTTATAACTACTTTTAACCCAATTACGCATGTAGTTTGCGCCTATTATTTATGCACGAGTTTATCGAATTGTTTGTTTTACGCCAGACTGTAACAGTTATAGATACATTTTATCAATAAGCTTTTACGACAAAAGACATTCAATTCCATCCATGTTCTTAAGTACTTCAACGAAGTGTAAATAAATTTACATTTACAAGACAAACGGGCAGAAGGCTAATCTGATGTTATGCGATACCGTCGCCACGGACACCGCAGCCAGAAGGCTCGAGAGTGCGTTGCCAGCCTTTTAAAAATAACAAGACTCTAAGTCGTTCGGATTGGTACGGAAATACTTCAGACGCTCAGTTGTGGAATGACGAACGTCAAGGTGATATGAAACCTGTTTATAGAGCATATCGACTAAATGAAACATCAGTTTGATGTTGTCTATGAAGTCAAAGGTCAACCTGAAGAAAAAAATAACCAGTAAAAAACCTACAGAAGTCTTATGTGCTCAAGGGTTCGTGACACATGTTTATATGTCTGGAATACGTATGTGTAACTGAGTTCGAGTTTTGTTCATATAACAAAATTTCCAAATCTATGGATTCTGAGATCGTAAAATTATCCAGATATAAATTAGCAAATCACATAGAAACTACACTAGCCAAATTGGATTTCGAATCTACAGAGGCATTACTACATATCTTGGTATGACTTTGAGGTTTCATAAACAAACACAGACACAGTGCACGATCATAACAACTTTCAGCTACATTCTCAAATACATGCGCATACTCACCTATTCACACACTCACTCATTCACTTCATTTGTAACACGAAATTTACAACTATTATTAGTATTTTTTCTTTTTTTATTATCATCTTTTTTTTAAACTAATTTTAACATGTACCACGAAATAATTGTTTTCTAGTTACCCACAACACAGGGCCTCCCTAGTGTGGGGACTAGCGATTTATGATTTCTGTCACAAACCCTTCTGTCATTAATAAAGTTTTTATTATTAAAAAAAAAAAAAAAGATGCTAACTTCAACTATCAGCGAATCAATCTTTAACGCTTTTCGTGTAAATATTTATTATTTATAGCCCATATTTTAACCAAAATCTTAACTTTAACGCTATAGTCAATATTTGGATATAAATCGATCAATCCTTCTATATTACCACACAAAAGCATTTATACAAATTAATGAGTCACGTTAATTTTTAATTAAGACAGGTGTGTTTTTTCCTAGGATAAATACGTCTTTCGAAATTTAATATAATATTTTGTAGCTTCTACCGTTTCATTATGTAATTTTAAAATTAATATTTAATTACTACTACTGTGCTGAAGTATAATTATGGAAGCCTGGCCAGAGAACGCAAGAGCACGCTAGCTGCTCGAATAAACTGTATAAAAACACTTGCAGCGAATAAAACCTCCTTGGTATTTTTAAAATAAAAAGTCGATTTATGGTCGCCTAGCAACGCATAAACACTGAGATACTTTTAAAAAACACTAACCATTAATTATTAAACAGTAATTACCGCTCGATATTATTTTTGTGGATCAAATCGATAATATAATACTAAACCAAAAGAAACCTGCCAACCAACGTAAAATTAAACATGACAAACATTATTTTATCTCATTTTTACAGTATATTCCTAAATGTTTTATTTTCCCGCAGTTGCTAGTTCTTTCTTTTTTAGAATTCAATATCAATAATTCTTGCATGGAAAATGGGTTCAATCGCTCGATCGTTAACATTTTGCTACCTTGAGATATTAGATCTATTTATTATAAAAAACAATACGAAACATACACTCGGCGTCAAAAAAATCGCACCTTTCCTAAAATTCGTGTCAAGCGATTATAACTCCGAAGATCCTTCCTGTACCATATCATTATTAGTATCATTTGAAAGCTAATGTAATCCCTTATTTGAAAACAGTAGGAAATTGGCCACCACCCCCATAGAAAAAGAAAATTCTGGGAAAATGTGAAACAATGTGTATTCTGATCAAAATTACAAATAAAAGGAACAATACAAAAATTAAAAATAATCAATGACAATCCTTAAAAATTAGTCTTACAACCTAGTGTTGCCTCCTCTATCCCTCCGACCAGCTTCCAAGCGGTCAGTCATGGACCTGATGAGCGTCACGACGTGTTCATGGGGAATGTTGTCCCTTTTCTCGATGACGGCATCTCGAAGCTCATCGAGAGTGGCAGGAGCTGGATTACGGGCCCGAACTCGCCGTTTCAACTCGTCCCAGAGGTGCTCGATAGGATTGAGGTCGGGGCTTCTTGCTGGCCAGCCCATAACCTTGATGCCAACTCGACGTAGGTAGTCCTCGACAATCAAGGCTGTGTGGCACCGGGCGTAGTCGTGCATGAACTCGAAGTTAGCGCCGACAAAACCTACACATGGGACCACATGCTCCTCCAAAACTTCGGTGATATACCGGTGGGCAGTCAGAGACCCCTGGCCGCGACTTTCTCCAGCTCTGGAGACGCACACGAGGTCTGTCTTGCCGTCGATAGAAATACCGCCCTAGAACATGCAGGATCCTCCTCCATACCCGACAGTTTCCACGGTGCAGGCTGGTGTGAAACGCTCCCCTGGCCGCCTGTAGACTCTCTTACGCATGTTGTTGGTGTACACGTACACTCGGGTTTCGTCGGAGAACAGGACATTCCTCCAATGGTCGAATGTCCACGGCACGTGCGTTTCATAAAATCGCTTCCTTTTCGTCCGGTGGATGGTAGTCAATAGGGGGCCTGTAGCAGCTCTCCGGGGCAGCAAATTCTTCTCTCACAGCCTTCTTCTGATAGTGGAGACGCTGTCAGCTGTCCTTCGAGTAGCTCAAAGCCGCTGATGCAGCTCCACAGCGTTGAAGAAGCGGTTCCGCAAAGACGTTGACACAATGGAGCGATCACCTCTGACGGTAGTGCAGCGACGTCTCCCGGATCCATGTCTCCTGATGTAACCTCCAGTCTCTTTGAACCGTTGGTATACCCGTTGCACTCGAAATCGGCTGATTTTCAGTTGCCGAGCAACTTCAACCTGCCGTAGTCCGATTTGCAGTAGGGCCACCACTTGAGCTGCTTCTTTGCCATGGTATCCATTTTCACTGGGTTTTTTCTTGTTGAAGCTCTTTAGGAGTGACCTCTGTGACGTCTGAATAGCGAATAACCCATCATTGACTTTTACCCCCTCGTTATATACGCGTCCAGGGTGGTACAATTAGTGAGCCTCCACACGCGTACATCGCCACTTTTTAATCAAAGTGCTGATGATTTGTGGTTTTTGATTTTCCGTTAACAAATGATTATTTTTTTGAAAGCTTATTAATTGAGCTTTTAAATGATACTAATAATGATAGAGTACAGGAAGGATCTTAGAAGTTATAATCGCTTGACACGAATTTTAAGAAAGGTGCGATTTTTTTGACGCCAAGTGTATATGTATTATCGTAAGACTACAAGATGCAAATAATGACAACATAGCGCTAAAAATCTGCATCATGAGCAAACCCATCACACCATCACACAACACAGCCGAATAAGGTATTACTTAAATTTATTTTAAAAAAATCCTTTCGAAATTGTTTGATTTTTTTGTATATATTAAGTATTCCATCTTTAGCTATATCTTTATAATTGTGTTTTGTTATATATAATTTATGTAAGCTGTATGATTACGAAATAAATGAATAATTGTCTACCTACTACGCATTAAACTAACGCAAGCTTTAAAAATTATCGTGTACTGAGTATAAGTAACTCCTGTCAAATCCAACACGCTTAGAAAACTAGAATTATGTAGTCTATGCCCTAATGTCGTACCCAATATCCCACGTTAATAGCTCATTTAATAATAAGAACCTCCTTCCTGCTAGAAGAAGATACCTATGGATAACTGGAACCTCTTTTATTGTTCTAAGCATTCATGCCATGGCGATACCAAATAATAATGTAAATATACCAAAAATTTCAGATAACGATTTTAAAATTAATTAGTATACATAAAAACTCCAACGCAACATAATAGGTTGTCTTACCTGCTTTGGCACTTCGAGGCTGCTCTGCGTCTTCATATCGGCGGGCGTTGGAGTCCGGGATCGTTTGAATGTGGTGCGCAAGCGCTGCATAGCGGGCGGGGCGGGCTACGCGCGCGCCGCTCATGTCGCGGGCCCGCCAAGCCGCCCCCACAAACACGCGCTTTTAAAAACACTGAAAACGTTACTTCACAGTTAACCATCGAACTACTTAAGTTAATAAAAATAGCCTATTTTAAATGGAAGCATTTTTTGACTTAAACCAATCGTAATTACGTGTGGACTTTTCCGGACGGCTATCAAATGCCTTTAGAAACATTTACACGTTGCAATTCCGACTGGTTATAGAGCCTATACTCACGGTAAAAAGCTTTCTAAGAAATTGCTTACAATTATTTGATCTGTCTATAGGTAAACTAGCTTTTATAATACACTACATTATACAAAGCAAGATAAGATACACGCAGTTATCAAAACTAACATAGCCAAAGCTTTGCTTTCGAAATGCAAATAATATTAAATTTAAATCAAGCAAAAGAAAAACACTTCCAGCACTTTTGTGAGTGCTTTTAGTATCCTAAAACTATCTTCTGGATTCTTTAGCTTTTTGAATCGAATCATTTGATATTTAAACAACACACACACACACAAATGTAAGAGTCATTTCAGATATCGTTTCTCTCTTTTTCACACGATTATATAAGGTGAGAATACAAATAACATACAACATACATCAAGCAAAAATACATTTCAAATATCAGTATAAAACACAGGGGGAAATATTAAGCTTACTATTCAGGTGTATAATTTCAAAAAAACTTACTTTATACAATAACTTACATACCATGCGTCACTGTACCGCTAAAAGCAATCCATAACTCAAACTCGACACATTAAAAAGCGAATACTGATACCACTGCCACCACGCCACGCCCAAACAAATATACATTTATCATAATTGCGTGATATTATCTTTATTTTATAGAATTTTAAAAGCCTTTTTTTGTAACTCATTCTCAATGGTTGGTTCTCATTATGTTAAATAGGAATCGGAATAGTTCGATAACAATTTCAGTTTAATTTTAATTTTCATAGTGTTGATTTTGATAGTAATACACAGTAATGATTCATAAGAGATAGAGCATTAGAGAAAATGTTATTTTTAAACTACAATACTATGATAATGAAGAAACGAAAATGGAGAAACTAACGATTTTCGTCGTTTTAAAGTAAGTATTAAAATCGTTTTATAATTAAGTAAAATTCAATTACGCACATCTGTTGAGCTATTTATATCCCCGTTTCGTACTTAACGTCCAACCATTAATGAATTAAAATCCCCAGGTCATATTATTTGAAATCCAGTCATTAAACGCGGGGTGCTATTATTCATAAACTTTACTACGTTCATAAAAGATTCATATAAAATTAAGACATAAAATGAGAAATGCCATTTCATCTGGGAAACGACAATCGAGTGAGCTAATCTCACAGCGAACACTCGATAACTTGGAATCCTCAAGAGATCTCAAAATACCGTCAAGAATCGTGTGACAATTGCAAGAGTTTTAAACACAAAAGAGGCGATTTTATCGCAGATTTCACATATAGTTTATTCTATTTCGGCATTATTATAAAGCGGCAAGTTAGTCCGGTTTTTTTTTAATGGCTCTGGCACGATTTGTGCATTAGCCAGCGTCAAGTATAGGATTTTTTATAATTCGTGCTTGTCTTTAGAAATTCGACCGTGTCCTCCATGTACGGTTTAAGCACTCGCCCGGCGCAAAGGCCGAGAACAAATTTGAAATTAAATTAAAACTTGCCCTCGAACCGCGAATCGAACCCGGTACCCCTCACCTAGCTGCCACTTAATAAGACCGCTAGGCTATGAGGCCCCTAAAGTGCGGTATTTGTTACCATGGTTATCATTCATGGAAATAGCATCGTAACCATGGTAATTACTTTTTAATTCATGTCACACTAATACCGTTATTATTAATTCAAAAGTCAAAGCCATTTTAGGCGTCGTAATTTTTTCTCCACATTGATTTATTACACAATTCAGGGGACAATCATAACTTCTATGATATACTGACAAACAGGACGTTTGAATTGACCAAAACCCAGACAGTTTAATATTAAACAATTTTTTTTAATATTATCTTTCCATAACCTATAGAGATGGCGCTTCTAACCAGCACACTTAAAAAATGTAGAACCTCCTTGGTGCTTAGACTTAAAAGTCAAATATTAAAAAGAAATTATAAATCTATAGAATACTAGCTGTTCCCTGCCACCCTTCGCTGTTGTGATTGAGAAACAAAACAAAGAAAACATTTCATATAAGTTTAATTTTGCAATACTTGTGGAAAAAATATAAAAAAAAAACAAAAAAATAGATAAAAACAAACCTTGATGCGGATTATACTCGTATAAAGTAAAGTAAAAAGTAAAAAAATCATTTAATCACATAGGTAACATAATGTACACTTATGACATGTCAGTAAAGAAATTTACATATTTATGCTTCTAATTTTACATTTACTGCCAGTTCTCAAATCAAGGGCGTAGAACGGGAGAGAAGAACTGGCAATAAACTCTCCGCTACTCTTCTTAATCGCCATTTTTTTGTTTTATAAAATTTTTGTAAGGAGCTGCAACCATTACACCATGTCCCATGTAACATTTTAAGTAATTAATAATAATAACATAAATTAAAAACAAAGATTTGTCCTCTATTAGCAGGAGGCATGGTGAAATAGGAGCACGCACTTACATTCTCGTGGGAACAACACGCAAACACATAGTCGAAATAACCAACATCACCGCATACACGAATTCAAGTACGACAGTCACCATAAGTATATCATGCTTCAGCTCGATCGGTGCAGAACTTTTTGAGTTTTTGAAGCGTAGGTGCACAAGCCAACATAATTTTTTTATATATTTATAGTATTGCCTTAATAATTTATATCAATTGTGTAAAGAGATTGTAGATGTTCTGTCTGATGTGTCGATGTCAATTTTACAAGGAAAAATAATATGATAATGTTTACGGTACTTAAACTATTTATGAAAACAAATTAATCTTAAAAATTAATTACGTAAATAACATTTTTATGACGCAGTATATTTAACGGTTCTAATCCATTTACATTATCATAAAAAGCAAATTCAGGTTATATTAAAATGTTCGCGTGATCCTTCGCGAGTAATAATTCATATAATATATACTGTATGCATGCTTTAGAATAATTAACCACTACATAATTAACAAAACACATACTTCATAAATAGACTTCTTTAACCTCACGTGAGTTTTGTGAAATAAGTATGTTATTTATTTATTTATTTAGTTAATAAGCTTATAACATCACACACAGTACTAAAATTACTAATTATTTTACAAAAAATCTCGCATCTAAAATGTGTGACAATTAATGTAAGCATAAGTTTCACAAAAAAAAAAAATTAAATGGAAATAAAAATTACAATTAAAACATATACGATAGTAAAAGCACACAATAAAATAAAAAAAAATTACAGAAATTTGTTGGCACTTAGTGCAGAAAAAAAAAAGAAAAATCATCATCAAAACAGCGAAATTAGGTTTGAGAAAGGCAACCCAACAATGCTTTCTCTAAAACCGATCAGCCCACTACCGAATATACCAGATTTCAGCCAAGTTTCAGTAAGAGCGATGATCTTATAATTAGAAGTTGACAAATACTTGAGAAAGCTTGCCGTTTTAGTTCTCAACCCTTGTACGTTTTGATAATAAATTTCAAGCATTGTAAAAAAAAACAGTGTGTTACTAGGCTAAAGATACAACAAAAAGCTTACAATCTAATATACTATACTATGTTAAAAGATTTAAGGTTTCGTTATTCTTAATAAGCAAGGCTTGGCAGTTTTCGTTCTTTCTTGTAAAAACGCGTCCGTTGCGAACCCATACAAATTTATACTGCTTCTCTTTTGCTTTCAAGCGTGTGGCCGCGTAAAGAGCATTGTTAACTGATGTTAGATGTTCAGATACATAAATAGGTTTCTTAGTTCCTCCGATACCAAGATGATGAGAGTTCAATTTATCTTGAAGATTCTTCCTATTAAATTTGCTCACAGTAGCCAGAACAAAATCACGTGTACGCGGGCTACATAACTTGGCTACCACGGACCGAGGCCTATCACTGCTATTAGTTATTTTAGCAACCCTTGTTACGTGCTGAATATCAACTTGAGTGAGGGGACATACACACACATACATAAGCTACAAATAGGTTTTAGTTAAGAACGTATTAGAGAGGGTTAGTCTCTTAGAGATAAATTCAAGGAAATTAATATACGTACCTTTCCCTCGCAATATATTTATGAAAATATTATGTATGTATACAAAAATAGTGATAAGTTGCCTAGAATAGAACATACGCACAATTTTAATACTCGGAACAAACGCAGGCTGCAATTTCCCCGTACTAGACTATATAAAGTTATTCATTCTTTTTCGGGAAAAGGGATACTCTTCTTTAATAAAATCCCAGAGGCTCTTTTATCTCTGCCTTTTCATAAATTTAGGAAATGTATGAAAGAAAAGCTGTGTAAAAAGGCTTACTATAAAGTTAACGATTATCTAGTTCATAAAAGGGCCTGGGACTTGTGCTAGACAGGCTACTTCTAATTAATTTTCGATACATGTTTTAAAATAAGTGTTGTTTGATGATTTGCTATTTTAAAAGAGTACCGAGAGTTTTTTTACGCCGGCTTTTTCTCTCGGCCTACGCCCTCTGTCTTCTTTGCCGATGAGTAGGGATGCCTACAAATTCAAATTTAATGACGTGGAATAAGTGATACCTGTATCTTATGTTCCATAATAACCATATTTTATTTATTAAATCGAAACTGAAAATCCTTGTTTAATTCCCGGCGATAAGTTTTTAACTACTGTTACTGCAAAATATATAATTTTGTTATTATTTATTGACTTATGTTTTAAAGACTTGCGTAATAAACGAGTAAAATGTAACCATATTCATATGACTTTAGCAGGAAATACAATTTAATTATAGCCATTGAACAATACGAACAATAAATATATT